CACATCTGCACTTCTCTTAACGATGCTATTTTCTCAAACAGGCATTTTAAAAGTAGGAATCATTCTTTAAGGCAAGCTTTAAAAGCTCTAATTTAACACTCAAAATGTCCAATACCTTATGTACGTTTCAATCAAGCTGAAGCCTCATAGACCTGGTTATCTCGCTTGGAATGCACTTGTGATGCTTGCTTCTCTGCGTCATTTGTCGTGGAATCAGCACTGTGCTGGGCGTCATTGTGGAATAAAGAAAGGAAGTGGCCAGAAGAACTGAAGTTGTTTAAGAGGGCAAAGGCAGACAACACATGATCAATTGGTTCCCTTCCTGCTACCCTCTCCCTACTTCTGTCAGTGGAGGCTAAATGGCCTTTTCTATTGAAGTCTGTGGCAGAGGTGGTAAATTTGTCAATCTCCGCCACGCTTGTTTGCTAGTTTTGCAACATCGTAGTTGACTATTCAAACATTTCCAAAATGCTAACCGTGGTTTAGGCTGGGATGGAAGAGAAGGGATGCCATCCACTGAGCCATGTCGTCAGAAATCATGGTCTTTATAGTTGACCTTGTCAGGAAGGTTTTTCGAATGGAAAATGAGGGCCTCTCCCAGGGGCCTGGACTGGGAGGCCGTTGTCTCATATTTGGAAGAGACTCAAGTTTAGATTTTTTGAACATATCAAATGAGACTTTATTTATAGAATCATTTGTACTGTATGTGTGTTAAGGTTTTATTCTGTTAAATATAAACATTGAAAATGTGCTATCATTTACTAAGCGTGTTTTGCATTTTGAAAATGATAATGGTAAATAGATTTAGAGCCTACAAAAATAGAAGGGTCGGAAGCATTCATTGATATCTGAGAGGCCCCACTGAATGGAAACAAAAAAAGCATTCATCTTTACTACCATTTTATAATCAATTTGACATGTGGCTTTTGGGGTGACTATTTGATCACCATTTTCTGAATCCTGTAAGTTGAGGTTAATAAGAGACATACTTATAGTTCAAGCTTCCATGGCCTTATAAGTGATGCAAAGTAGGTAGCAGCACAACCAATCTATAGCCAGTTAGCTCACCTTCAAAACGACATGAAATTTTACCATTTTAATAATTTAGGAAGATTTCTATAACATGTCTCTGTGGATTTAAAAGAAATTTGTATGTATCCATAACAAAAGAGAGTCAAATGAAGATGTACAGTGCCAAAGTTATGACATTTAAAAAGTTTACAATTCCTCTTCACCACTGTAAACCCCCCAAACAACACCGTTTGTAAAGAAGGAAGTCATCCAAAGACTTCTAGTGATGGCAATTGTGTTTGAAGGACTCACTTCAAAGGCCAGATGCATGTTTACGAGACAATAATACCATCCAGAACGGACAGTCGGATTAATGTAAGCGTGCTGTCCATGCTCGAAAGCACCGATCTTGGTTGTTGGATGAGAACAGACATGCAATCTTCGGGCATGAGCTAGTTCATTAAATTGTGAGCTTAGGACTATCTGAGATGAAAATGACAAAGGGTACCTAACTCATCTTGGAGAATAAGAGATCATAAAAACAGATTTGTGTGTGTGGAATTGTTCAAAAGAAGCAGTGGCCGTGAAAAATGGAAGTGGGGGGTGGGGAGGAGAAAGCAAATTCAGAAACAAAGACAATACAAAATTAATTTTTAAAAATTAAGTAATTTGGTTTCTTAGCCATTGCCATTCCCAACTGTCTTCTTCTAGTTTGGCATACCCAGATTCCATTTCCAAGTACTCGTTATTTTGTGCCCTGGCTAAAATTAGAAACGTGGGTACAATCATCCATCAAGATGAGAACAAGAGGTTATCTTCCCCGTGGCATTGCAAAATGCCAGGATGATCTGGACAAGGGATTGTTTTAATTGCTGACTAGCTCTGATTTGATCCAGCTGGAACTTGCTCTTTCAGGAACTCATCGGTGGCAGACATTTTTAACAGGATAATTAATGATTTTTAAATCTGGATTTAAAAAATGCTCATTCAACACAATGATCTGATACGAGTCACTGAGAGAGTAGTTAGCATTCTATTGGGATGTACAACCAAGGATCATCTTTCTGCTCTTTGGAGTTGGTAATCCTAAAAGGTTAGAAGGGTGTTGAAATGGATGATTTATCACCATATCTTGTTTCTAGAGAATGTAAAGAAAAATGACTATACTAGTGCACATTTCTTATGTTGTGAGCAAACAAAAATGATAAAAAGTACTCCTAAGACCACCTTTGACACCTCTTTAACTTCTGTCCATTGTCCCGTCCTTCTAGCCTTGTTCTAAGGGAGATAACGACTGTCCCCAAGCCCAGACGATTCGCAGCCTCCTCTCTGCCCTCCTTGTTCCCACTCAGCCCCGTTCTCCCTCCTCTTCCCTCCTCTGCTGATTTTATTCGTTTCTTTGGAAGCTTTCAAGAGATCCTAAAAATTTGAGCTCCCTCCACTTAATGCGTTTTACTATCTGGATTCTTCC